GGTCACAAACGTTTGATTATATTTTCAATTAGATTGTAGGATTACTATTTAAAGCTACCATTTTTATTACCTGCTAGAACTAAAACTTATAAATAATTTACTCTTACCATATAATTTTCACTACTCTTATTTTTACAATAAAATATTATTAATATTATTATTTTTTATTATAATAATAACAGTTTCTTGGCATAAATATAAAATGCTGTGTAACATCAAATTTGACGGAAAGGCTCTTTGTAACGGTTTATATGTATATTTATGTATGACTTACAATAAACATTACCATTATTATAACATAAAAATAACATTAAGTTTAAATAATATCTGGTGTCCGTTGACGTAACATGTCATAATTGAGCACTTTCGTACGCATACTCGGCATAAGGTTTTCAAGATTTTTAGGAAGGAAAATACGGATTTATATTTATTAAACTCCCAATGAAGAAGAAAAATATAAATGTTATTGCTACTAAAAATGGAACTTCATTTTTTATTACACAGTGTAACTGATTTACTGAATGGTTATAAAGAACAAGATTTTTTTATAATTAAATGCAGTTTCATCATTAATAAATTAAAAAATAAATAAGAAATATATAGGCATATATTTTTCATTTATTATATTTTATAAATTTTGTACTTTTTACCAGTTCCATTTTTTTATTTATATTTTATTAATATTTGTAGTAACATTTTGTATAGTAATATTATTATATTAAAACTATTATATAAAGCAGGGGTGGCTTGAAACAAATAATTCAAATATATTCTTAAATTATATACTTTTTTTTTGCAGGAATTGCAACATAAAGTTACGTCTTTTTAAAAACCTATTCTTTTTCCAGGTAGGATTGTTTTGGAAAAATGGAAATGCGGTGATTCATATTTTTTTTATTGCTCGGCAAAAAATTCTACAGAAACATAATTATACATTTTTTTATTGTTATTGGGGCAATTTGAATGAAAATTGTGCAATATAAAAAAAGTAAAATGTATCTATTTTTAACATGAAATTGTGCAAGCTTCAATAAATGAAAAGGATCTATCTGAGGTATTTTTATTTGCGACAGTTATTTGTACCTTTTTTTTATTTATATGCCCTTAGTTTCTTTGATGTAATTTTATATATATTATTAAATAAATGATACTGATAAGATTGACATAAATATTTTTTTTTGAAATAAATTCTTGGAAATTAAATTTACTGTTGTTTCTTTTTAAACATATATTTTTATGAAAAAAAAAGCACGACAAATTATTTAGAAATAAAAAATTATAGAAATTGTGGTAAAACATTAAAAAATACGCACGACTGCAATAAATGTGATCTGATGTATCCGTATAATGCGGATTTGATCAGCACGGACTCAATATACATATTTGAAATATTAAAACTGAATAAAAAAATTACACAAAATTATTTTGTATACATATAGTGATTGTTGTTGCTTTTATAGTCAGTTCTCTTATTATAGGGTATATTTTATTTAGTTCCTGGATTACTCCGGTTTCAAACAATCCGAATTTTTCATATTTATAATATTATTTTATATAATAAATTGATGAAATTATATTTTTAAATGAGTTACTATTCAACTTCAGAAAAAATATTATATTTTCTTATTAATAACACAATAAAACAGTTGTTGAAATTACAAAAGGGATTCCAAATAATTCAGAGTTAATAAAAATATTAAAAGAATTTTAATATGTGCTTGCATTCAATTAGACAATTGAATCCAACAAAAGGCAATACTAAGAGAGAAAGTTATATTGAAATAGGGATGAAGGGGAGCGCTGCAGTTTATTAATAAATAGGAAATATGATTTATTCAGGAATATCATAACATTTCACTCTCACCCTCGCACACAATATGAAAACGTTCCAGTTTTATTAACATTGCTCACCTTTGCGAAGGGGAATCTCATTGTTCCATATTACATTACCCCATGTAATTGAACCCTCCAGAAAGAAGCAGCAATGCAAAAAAAAAACATACGCACAATCATAAAGATCATTCGCATCTATAATAGGAGAGAGGATAAATCATCAATCGAATATGGAGGAAATATGAAGAGATATTACTGAAGATGTCATCGTATGGACGTAGGCTGCGTAACCGCATTTAAATATTTTTTCACGTATTCACAATGACACAAAAGATTGATATGGGGGGATAAGCGGTGTTCACCCTCGAACCTATGTACAGACCATTTGATAATTGATATGTCCAGAAGAGATAATCATCTACAAACAGATGAAACTCAACGGACTCGTCGACAAAAACACGCAACGCATCACCGCAATCAAATTGTTGAATCCGAGTTATCTTTATTTGCATCAAGATCTTCTATGCAAGGATAAAGTTCAATCATAGATTTCGCTCTTAATCCAAACATACTATTTAAATATGTATAACTATAATATAGCATACATGAACACACAACCGTATTTTTTACCCAGATTTAAATATATACACAGTTTGTTTTTTTTTCTAAACAGAAATAAACAAAAGTCAACAGTTTATAAGATAATTAAGTTTTATTGTAAAAGAACCGCATTATACAAAGTTTACTGAATAGCTTTTTTAGATATTTTTGTAAACCAATTTATTCATAACATTTGATAGTTATCATTCGCTAAGTACAATTCAGAAATGGAAAATTACTTCGATTACCCATCTAGCCGTCTCTCACGACGAAGTTTTATCTTATTTATTGATGAAATTTATTGGAATTTCCAACTCCTGCTAACTTTTGTAATATAATAAAAACGTTATTAAGAGTATTTCTTTCTAATTTATTAAATGCATCTTGAACACATTCAATCAATTGTGTTTGGCGAAGCTTCATATTGCAGTGATTAAATAGAGTAAAAATCCCAAATCGAGAACGTTTAAATCGGTAGTAGTTGTGACTTAAATTGAATAATCTAACCATCAAACCACCTACATTTTCGTATAATATTGAGGGAGTATCATATTAATTAATTCTATTTTCTATTACAACAATTATAAAGCACAGTGATAATTATTTGTTGATGAAATGAATCAAACAAAACTCTCTTTTTTAATATTTTTTTTCATTCAATGTTTTTGCTACGGCAGCTTTTTTTAAATAAACATAAAAAATACAATTTAGTCTGGTTTTGTACAAAGTGCCTGAGCTTTTTTCTTCACGAATGCTCTCAAATTTAAATAGTTAAATACATATTCCATATTATATAATATTTTTCTGTGAAGTTCCGTCATTTACTGGTTCTAGTTTATTTTTTATTGTGCAGGTATGCAATGAAAAAAAAAAGTAAAGTAACGAAAAAAAAAGAATAACATGAAAAATAAAATGATTAATACTAATAAAAACGAAATAAAAAAAATATATAATAAGAATAACACGGGATATTACATCATTTGTGATGGTGTAGTGCTGGCGGCTGTATTGCTCAAGTTTCTCGAGGCATTTGGTTTTCCGACCAAACGCACACCACCATTCGGCGCCTTCCTCTGCGATTTCGATGATATCTTCTTCGCCATGTGGCCACGGTAGGGCTCTACGCTACTTCCCCAGGTGGTGTGCAAAGGGCACCGGAACCAGCAATGGTGGACTGAGTCCTCTTCTTCGCCACAGGGACAATCCGATGACTCTGTTTGCTTGAATCGCTTTCGGTAGTGTCCGAATTTGCTATGCCCCGCGATCAGTTGTACCACCTGGTGAGATAGCTCGAGCTTCTTCCTCTGCCATTCCGCGATGGACGGGATAAATTCTACCTCCAAGGCTGCTCTGCTATCAGACAAAATCGAATAGCTCTTTTCCTCGGTGGATGTTCCCAGCAGATATCCCAGAGCTTTTTTAATAACAAGTTAACTCCTCGACGGCGGCGGCGCCCTGAGAACCTGCTAGGGAAGCATTCTCGAGTTCCTCCTTTCCCTTGTCCTTTAACGCGGATATCTTCCTCGAACGCGTTCTCGGCATCGCACGCGGTTACACGCACTACCGGTGTTTGCACAGCTGCAGCGCAATAGATAATATTAAGGAACAAAGTTCCGGGAAGGAAGGACTCCTTATCGCAATGTTTTCTTTGTACACTACCGCCCGCTTAGTACAATACCCCTTCCCTTCGAGTACTGGACGACTCCTAAAATTTTACAACATTATTCCTAAATCTCATTAGTAGAGAATAATCAAAGCTACAAGTTTTATTTTAAGTAATTTTAGAAATTTCTTAGTAATGCCTATATACATTTATATTTCATATTGATTTAGATACATTTGTAATATCACTAATTAGCTATGCATTAAAACAATATTTTGTTTAACTAGGTTAAAGAGAGTAAATACAAAATCTTAAATAAAAATATAGAATAATCTATAATTGACCGTAAATGTTTGATCTGTTGATGTAATATAATTCAAAAAGTTTAAATTTTATATTAATTTGTAACACGCGTAACCGACATACACGAATATTATTCTGAAGAGGATCAACCCATCAATTTTGAATGCAATTGTGTGTAGTCTGTTTTCCACTCTTAACACCAGTTGTTCATCGACCTTTAGTTCTCTATAAATATGTTTCATTTAATTTTACAAAATGGTATATAAATTTAGTTTATGTTAAAATTTAAACATTTGCTCAAAAATAATAGCAGGAGTGTCCAACAAGTCGATTTCAAAGAAATAATTACATTTTAAGCCCAAACAAAAATATTAGATATTTTGTTATATTTTGAGATAACCTAGATACTGTTTTGGTTGTGAGTGAGAGAAATGAAAATAATGGGAGGGATTTGTAAGCGACAGCCAGTGAGGATTGTCTACGAAGGGTCGGTTACTCTCCCCACCACTGTACAAAAAACTCCCATAAATACCAGGGTGAAAACCAAAAAGCAAACAGTAGGGAGTTTAATAGTGCACCGAAGCAAGTACATATAGTACGGATGGTATTAGTAATAGTTTTGTGCACTTTATAATATTGTTATACGAGGATAATTACAAAAATGATGTCACCAAATGACGAAATTGAGAAGAGATCTACACCATCCAGTAAGTAGAAAAACGAAATATAAATTAGTACACGCTCGTTTAAAAAAAAAACTGCAAAATGTGCAGTTCTTTTATGTTCCTTTGGTTCCCCTTGTAATTCAATCTGCATTTGCTCATTTTTAATTGTTGTTCTTTTTCAGGTCGTATATTGGATATACCGTGTAAAGTGTGCGGAGATTATTCCTCAGGAAAACATTACAATATCTTTGCGTGCGATGGTTGTGCGGGCTTTTTTAAAAGGTCCATCCGCAGAAATAGGCATTACGCATGTAAAGCCAAAGAGGTGAATATGTGCATAATAGATAAAACCAGAAGGAATCAATGCCGAGCATGTCGTCTGGCTAAATGCCAGAAAGTGGGCATGAACAGAGATGGTAATTATATTGTTATAGAAATATGAATTATTAGTTTGCTCATACATTGTTTATTTTTACAGCTGTTCAACATGAACGAGGTCCTAGAAATTCTACAATACGAAGGCAAATACACTTTGTGGATTCTCGCGATTCTTTAATGCACGGTAGCCAAATACCACCAATGCCAATTCCCATGATCACTCCTCCATTGAATCCGGTTTCTGCACCTCTTCATTTCGGCGCGTCCGCTAGTTTTATATGTAATCCGATTTTTGCGGGTCGCATCCAACACACCATGGCGCCCTATCCGAATATACCGTCGTTACCATCTATGATCCAAAGCCAATCTACTTTGAGTGAGCAAGCAGCTAGATTGCTGTTTATGAATGTTAAATGGGCAAAGAGTATTGCTAGCTTCACAAGTTTACCATTAAATGATCAGCATATACTTCTTGAGAATAGCTGGAAGGAAATGTTTATTGTCGGTGCATCCCAATATCTTCCAATAGATTTTGCTCAGTTAATGCGGACATTGGATATGTCAGAACGCAATAAGGATGAAACTGTGGCATTTCTGAAAGATATAACGAACCTACAAAATTCGATCTTAAACATGATCAAACTAAGGTTAGATCCGCAGGAGTATGCATACCTCAGGGGTATGTGCTTATACAAGACTTTTATAACCGGCAAGAAGGACGATGACGAACTTTGCCTGACTAACAGAAGCCAGATTATAGCAATGTATAATCATACACAACTCTCGTTTCATTCTTACGTTAATTCTATGCATCTAACACAAAATGACCGATTCACGCAAATCACGGATCTCCTTCCATCGATGGCTCAAGTCGAAGCAACAGTAATTGAAGATCTCTTCTTCAGAAAGACTATAGGCCAAATTCCTATAGTGCGTATCATTAGTGATATGTATAAAGCGCAATAATATTAAGCCACAACCAAAATTTTGTAACTAATAAGAAACTACTGTGATGGCTATAACTATTTTTTATATTAGAGCTTTAAACAAAATATTATATAATAAAATAGTTACAGCATAATTTATTTAGATTTAATTACCGTATGAAATATAGATGATTTTATTAATTTGATGTGAACAAAATATTTTTTATTTTACATTGTGAATTAAAATGAGTTAAAATGACTAAACAAATGTTAAAAATTTAAAAATAAATTTTGAGATAATGAAATTATTTTATCTTTACTTTTATCCTATCCTAATCAGATATCTAAAATCAATTTTTATCTTTAATAGTATATATATAGTGAGAACCTCGCGAGCACGTAACGAGCAAAATGACTTAACGAGCGACGTTTTGCCTATTACATTATTTTTAAAACTTGTGTACACATATTATGTGTATTTTTGAATATATTAACCATCTTCGATTTTCTTTGTCATCTTTGTTTAAAGCGGACTTACATTGCAAATATAATTTGTGTTTGCTGTAAATGCAAAACACAAATTGTGTCCAACCATTATTGTAATATATAAACACACTATGTACGCTTTTTTTATATGAAGACTCAACGATAGGGGACTTCGTTGATAAAAGTAATATAAACAAATATAAACTCACTTCACCGTGTGTAAATTCGAAAACAGTTCCTAGTGTTAGTGGTCATTCTAGTTGCATCTTTGTGTTGTTTGTGATCACAAAATTTCCAAACTTCTGTTCAGACATGTTATTTGTGTTTGCATGTCTCGGAATAAAAAGCCAAAGAATAAAAGGAATCATAGATATGAAAAGCAAAATCATTAAAACTTTTTTTTCCGGCAAGGAACATATTCTCGTAATTTACATTAGTTTATATGGGAAAATGTGTTTCACTATACGAGTATTTCACTATATGACTAAAAATCGAGGTTCCACTGTATATTAATTCATTAATAAGAACTGAACCACACGGATGTTATTGCACATGTTTGAAATTACATATGTACTTATAAACTAAATATAATTAAATATCTAGAACTAACATGTTTTCAGAATAAACGAGTAATTATTTTAGCTTCATTGTTGTAAAAATAAAATATGATCGGAAAGAGTAAAATAATATATGTTAAGCAAGGAGAATACTTTGTGGACAGAATTTAAAAATAAAAAGTATTAATATTGGAAATTCCATCAGCCTTTTAACACTTTCCATACAGTTGTGTAATTTGCGTCAATTGCCAAAACCATATGCATATATCAATAACAATTATTTGAAACCATAATGTTATTTATTATTTATAAAACAGCTAAAAATCAGCATAGTCGCCAATCAGATGGACATAGTGCGAGTAATCGGTTTCAATAATATCCCGAACAGTTTGGACTCGGACGAAAAACATAAAATAAATCTCACAAAAAAAAGACTTAACTTTAAAGGAAAAAACAAACAAATATTAATGTTGTGTAATATGAGAATTTGAGTTATGTCAGGTATTGCTGTACTTATATAAGTGATGACTGTACTTCACAATCCGATATTGTTTGGAAAGATAATGAAGTCGAGTGTCATATGGCGCGCTATGAAAAGTATCCCTTAAATTCCCATGCATGGTGAGAAACATGTTATGACGTGTGCAATTTTAACATGTGTTTTTTATTCCTATAATTAGATCAATAATATTTAAAGTCCAAACGAATCGTTACTGACATTGGATATTTCTGCAAGCTCTAAGCACGTTACGCTGGATTTTGCCGTCACGACTTCTTTAATGTCGTCATTGTTATGATCTTCGGTCTCACTTAAAAAATATTCATTGCAAATTAAAAAATCGCACGGAATTTGTTGATTACTTAATATTTGCAATATCTTATTATTTTTTATGTAAAATGAAACTGCACTCTTTTGGTGAAAATACTTCGGTAGATATGTGGCCAATAAATTTAATGTAATATAATTTTTGTATTATATTTGAATAGAAATTAATCGATCTTTAAATTTTAACAAAATTAAATATGTGAAAAATGTTTTCGAGTATTTGTTAATATATTGCTTTATAATGAAACAAATTTTTCTTCTTGAATTGCTTGTTTTATGTGGCTACCACTTAATTTTCGCAAATCGTCAGTACTATTTGAAACCGGACTAATTGAGGAACTACAAAAATGATAAAAATAAATCACACAAAAGAAACATGATTGTATATACGGAAAAAATGATTGTTATAAAATATTGGACAACACCAAATTTTAAATAATGTATGTGTATTTCTATAAAATATCGCTCTAATTGAATCTGATGTTCACCATTCATTCAATAAGTGTGTAAATAATAATATTTTTTTATTACATTACCTGTACATTATCAATAGAATACTTTTTTAATGAATATACATATATAATAAATAATTTACTTTAAAAGTTTCTTCTATTTTTTTTAATATTTTATATTATTTGGTCACATCTTAAACTATATCATATGTTTTACAAGAAATACCAACGATCAAAGTATGACCATAATATTTAAATGCAAATTGTTCATTCACTTCCCACTGTTACAGCCTGAAGCGATTAAAAAAATAATTGAGAGCACTTCGTAGGGGGCGGACGTTCACACGCAAATACCCAGAATATTATATAATATTTTTTTGACACTGCCCCATTTTGTATATTGCATGATGAGCAGAGTATGTCTCTTTTTGTGCGGTTGAAAAATAATCCGTTGCAGATGGATTAAGCAACAGTTCAACGTCATAATGGCGATGGAACAATTAATTCGAATGGTGGTTGAGGGTTGCATCGTTTGCTTTGCGCCTTCACTCGTATTTATTCTTTTTTTATTGTCCGCGGGCCACAAAGGCCGAAAGGGGCCGTCCCGTCACATGATCGTGACACACGCAAGTGAGTGTCACTCATCCCTCAATCAAAATTTAATCCACCCCAGATACAGAAACGCCGTACATGCAAATCGTTCAGTTCGTATTACCAATCTTTAGTTTACACTAATTTCCAATTGCCATTTCATACTTTACCCGCGGAACAATTAGTTTATCCCACGGGAAGCTTTCTTTAAATTTCCTTGATGGAAGTAGTCGAGGATGATAATGCGGGTCCTCTTCCGTTTCCGCACCGTTCTCGAGTGGCCATCCATTGAATAATATAACCATTTTTTTCTTGCAGTGTCGAGTGCCAAAACTCTCTCACGTTTCTTCCGCTCAGCGGGGAATCCCCGCAAAAATAACCAGCACCAAAACACCCTTCCGGACACAAATTCACGCTGGCTTTCACACCGCAATAAGTATGTCAATTATTCTGGCTTGAACACTTGCCGTGTACCAAAGTTACAACCACGCATTGTCCTCACTCATTTGGAAATCTTCTCATATTTTGGAGTGTTTCTCTATAAACGTATTCGTTGTTCAAGTATGAATTCAACATCGTAAAATAAAATAGGAGTCGATATATGTAAAACCGTTTGAGATTAAATCATAATTTGAAAATACCTTTAATATTGAATTATGCATATATAATATGTGCTGTTACTTTTATGGAATAAAATTTAGGGAACTAGAAAATAAATTATCATAAAATAATAAAACAATTAGAAAGTTCGAATACAATGTGTACATAGTAATCATTAAATCATTACAGTTCTTATTTTATTATTAATATTACGGGATAAAATGATAATAATTAGATAAAAATCTCATTAATGTTAAATTATCTAGCAAAAATTAATCATAATAGGATATAATTTAATTCATAATTATTGTATTAAAAATTGGCAGTTTATCAGCAAGTATGACAGTAATAGGAGCGTAATATACATATGCAAAAATTAGGATAGAACATGCATTTTACATTTACCAGATTGGTTAGATTAAATCAAAGATTAGCTTCATATATTTATTTTTACCGGTAAATGTATACATTTTCCATATTGATTTATTATTATTTTAATTTTATTTAAACAACATTTTATAGTAATATTATTTTAAAGGATTATATATTATTTATTGCTAGGAGTGATATAATGGCACTTTGAATTCAACAAAACTAAACTTTGCAGCTACATTTTTTTGTCTAGCATTTTGTTTTGCAGTTTTATTTCTTAAATCCTTGTCCTCCAGAGTTGTTTGCATGCTGAAAATTGATTTCTCGTGAAACAATGCTTTAATTTTTCTTCTTTTGTACCCATTTGATAATATTGTTTATTCTCATCGACAGACAATTCTACACACACATTAAATTTCTGAGATCTGTTTTTTATTGTATACCTATATCTGGTATTAGTATTTTAACGGTCTCTCAGTCTATTTCGGCAGAAAGGAATTTTAGATTTGAATTTTTTGCATTTGTTTTCCTAAATTTTCTTTTACTTGTACCCTTTTATTAGCGATAAACACATGCTCGCCACTCCATATATTATTTAAATCGATACACATTTACCAACATCATTAGCTATATGTGTACATATTTCCCGGAAATGGTGGGTAAATGTAAGTTGAAGTATTATTTATTAACCAATCTCGTAAATATGAACATTTATCGAACTACTCACGTTTGGCGTAACATTTACAAACTTTTTTAGCATCATTATTTTTAATAATAGAAATTCAAAAAAGGTAGTTTTTTCTCATTTCTCTTCTATTTAAATTGATTTTTTAATTCAGTTGTAATTGAACTAATTAGCAAGCAGAAATATTGAATTTAAATTATAATATTCTTAATAATATAATATATATATAATATGAATATGTTTAGTTTAGAATAATTAAATATGTTTTTAAGAAATAATGTGCGCTTTCAACACTGATTAATTAAATCAATATTACAATATTTTATTTCTTAATTTACACATTTTTAACCCAACTATTTTCCGGATAATTTTTATAAAATTTAAGTAGTTATTATTACCATATAATTAGTTTCTACTAAACGAGCAATGTCTTGAAATTATTATATGATTTTATTAATTATACATGAATAC